GCTTCCCCTGATTGGAGTGCATTTGGTAGAGGCTGTACGGCCTCCACACAGGCAGGGTCCCAGCGGACCCCGGAGAGCGTCCACCTTTGCTGGTATTGGGACAAAGACGTCAGAGTGTGGTGAAATTTACCAACGGCTGCGTGTTGTGATTTGCCACAATCTCTGAATCTCTGCCCTGAGCAACTGCACAAACATTTTCTGGGGTGGCACCCAGCCAAGGCTCAGTGAGACCTCATCCAGAGAGCTGGCCTGGGTCCAAGCCACAGGGGTCTCTGAAGTGTGGGGGGTTTTTTCCTTTAAAATTTTTTTTCTTTAATATTTGTTTATTTTTGAGAGAGAGAGAGAAAGAGAGAGAGAGCACACACAAGCAGGGGAAGAGCAGAGAGAGAGGGAGACACAGAATCTGAAGCCAGCTCCAGGCTTCGAGCTGTCAGCATAGAGCCTGATGTGAGACTCGAACACACGAACTGTGAGATCATGACTTGATCCAAATTGATGTTTAACTGACTGAGCCACCGGGTACCCCTGAAGTGTAGGGTTTTGAAACACAATCCTATCTGAAATAAAAGTCTGGAGGGAAGTGCCACCTGGCAGGCAGACAGCTTGGACACGAACTGGGTAGAGGTGGGGAGTGGATGGTGGCCTGAGACAAAGGAGGGGTGCTTGATCACGGGTTGGTGAGAGCATGAAGTTCCTATGCCAGAGACTAAGGAGCTGGGAGAAGCCATTTCAAACTTACCCAAACAAAGCACCACACTGTAAGCTAGGCTAAGCAGTGCCACCTAGTGGAGAACAGAGCCATTACACCAAGCCCTCCCCAACTGTGCCCTGCAAGCACATCCCTAGAAGACCAGCACAAATCACTCCACCTGCTTGGTGTACGGACAATAGAGTGCTTCATAGTTTCATTCTATGGATGTAACTTCATTCGAGTTTCATTCATTACAATAATAAAAGAAAGGATAAGAACCACACAATCCTCTCAACAGATGCAGAAAAAGCATTTGACAAAATACAGCATCCTTTCTTGATAAAAGCCCTCAAGAAAGTAGGGATAGAAGGATCATACCTCAAGGTCATAAAGGCCGTGTACAAAAGATCTCCTGCTAATATCATCCTCAATGGGGAAGACCTGAGAACTCTTCCCTAAGGTCAGGAACACAACAGGATGTCCACTCTCACCACTGCTATTCAACATAGTGTTGCAAGTCCTAGCCTCAGCAATCAGACAACACGATGAAATAAAATGCATCTAAATCAGCAAGGAGGAAGTCAAGCTTTCACTCTTCGCAGATGACACGATACTCTATGTGGAAAACCCAAAAGAGTCCACAAATAAAAAAAAAAAAAAAAAAAAAAAAAAAAAAAAAAAAAAAAAAAAAAAAAAAAAAAAAAAAAAAAAAAAAAAAAAAAAGCTAGAACTGATACATGAATTCAGCAAAATTGCAGGCTATAAAATCAATCAATTTACAGAAATCAGTTGCATTTCTATACACCAATAATGAAGCAGCAGAAAGAGAATTCAGGGAATTCATCCGATTACCAATTGCACCCAAAATCCATAAAATACCTAGGAATAAACCTAACTAAAGAGGTGAAAAATCTATACACTGAAAACTATAGACAGCTCATGAAAGAAATCTATATATTCAATGCAATCCCTATCAAAATAACACCAGCATTCTTCACAGAGCTTGAACAAACAATCCTAAAATTTGTATGGAACCAGAAAAGACCTGTAGTAGCCAAAGCCATCCTGAAAAAGAAAACCAAATCTGGAGACATCACAATTCTGGAGTTCAAGATGTATTTATTACAAAGCTGTAATTATCAAGAGAGAATGTATGGTACTGGCACAAATACAGACACATAGATCAATGGAACCAAATAAGGAACCCAGAAATGGACCAACAAAAGTATGGCCAACTAGTCTTTGACAAAGTAGGAAAGAAGATCCAATGGAAAATAAACAGTCTCTTTAGCAAATGGTGTTGGAAACCTGGATAGCAACATGTAGAAGAATGAACCTGGACTACTTCCTTACACCATACACAAAAATAAACTCAAAATGGATGAATAGACCTAAACATAAGACTGGAAGCCATCAAAATCCTAGAGGAGAAAACAGGCAACAGTCTCCCTTTACAGCAACTTCTTACTTGGCATGTGGTTCGAGGAAAGGAAAACAAAAGCAAAATGAACTTTGGGGACCTCATCAAGATAAAAAGCTTCTCTGTGGCAAAAGAAACCTTCAGTAAAACTAAAAGGCAACCGACTGAATGGGAGAAGATATTTGCAACTGACATATGAGAGAAAGGATTAGTATCCAAACTCTAAAAAGAGCTTATCAAACTCAACACCCTTAAAACAAAGAACCCAGTGAAGAAATGTGCAAAAGACATGAATAGACATTTTCAAAGATATCCAGATGGCTAACAGACACATGAAAAAAAATGCTCCACATCACTCATCATCAGGGAAATACAAACTAAAACCGCAATGAGATACCACCTCACACTTGTCAGAATGGCTAAAAGTAACAACTCAGGCAACAACAGACGTCGGTGAGGATATGGAGAAAGGGGAACTCTTTTGCACTGCTGCTGGGAATGAAAACTGGTGAAGCCACTCTGGAGAAGAGTATGGAGGTGCCTCAAAAAATTAAAAACAGAACTACCCTATGACCAGCAAATTGCACTACTAGGTATTTATCTAAGAGATACAGGAGTGCTGTTTCAAAGGGGCACGTGCACCCCAATGTTTATAGCAGCGCTATCAACAATAGTCAAAGTATGGAAAGAGCCCAAATGTCCACCGACTGACAAATGGATAAAGAAGATGTGATATATATATATCACAATAGAATATTACTTGGTGATCAAAAAGAATGAAATCTTACCATTTGCAACAACACTGATGGAACTACAGTGTATTATGCTAAGCAAAGTAAGTCAGAGAAAGACAAATATATGATTTCTCTCATATGTGCAATTTAAGATACAAACAGATGAACATAAAGGAAGGGAAGCAAATGTACTATAAAAACAGGGAGGGAGACAAACCATAATAGACTCTTAAATACAGATAACAAACTGGGAGGTGTTGGGTAAAGGGATGTGCTAACTGGGCAAGGGGCGTTAAGGACACTTGTTGGGATGAGCACTGGGTGTTATATGTATGTGACGAATCGCTAAATTTTATTCCTGAGATCACTATTACACTGTATATCAACTAACTTGGATTTAAATGAAAAAGAGTTAATAAAAGTAAAGTTTATTTATTTATTTTGAGAGAAAGAGCTCATGAGCAGGGAGGTGGCATAGAGAGGGAGAGCATCCCAAGCAAGCGCCCCGTGCTGTTAGCACCACAACCCAAGCAGGGCTTGATCCCTGGAACAGAACAATGAGACCATGACCTGAGCCAAAGTCAAGAGTGAAGCACTCAATGGACTGAGCTACCTAAGCACCCCCTGGAAGTCTTCAAGAAACCTTCCCTGTCCACATTCTGTACCCCTACATAGGTATCTAATCCATAGGCTCTTAGCCTCATTTCCAAATCAATTGCATGGATGACAAAGAAAGATGGCAATCCGTAGAAAATGAGGGAAATGAGATTACTGAGTAGTTCTTTGGCTGTGAATACGTCTTACAGAGTATTTTATTCAAGCCTCTCTGAAGAGGTTATTATCTCTATTCTACAGATGCTAAGTGAAGACCTGCAGAAGGAAAGTCACTTTCCCAAAGCCATTCTGGGAACAAATGATAGCACCCAAGCTGAAGCCCATCTGACTCCAAAGCTTGGACTTGACATCCCCCCTACCCTGACCACTGGATCACTGGCTTATCACTGACCACCACCCAACCAGAACCATTCACTACCCTCTCAGATCGCCCTGTTCGGCAACTAGAGCACTCCCTCTCAAAGCCACATCAAAAGCCTAGAGTTCTGCAGCCCTAGACCTCCAAGTCCAGGCCAATCCACCCTTCAGTCCAGGCAGGAATCAGGAAGGAGGGAGGCAGGTGGAGAGGAGGAGCTTGGAACCGAGCCACAGGGGTAAGATGAAAGTGAAGTGTCCATACTCCAGATGCCATCATCTGGAACATTACACCGAAGCGCCTAGTGAAACCTCCAGGCGGTGTAGGCGGCAGTGGCACTTTGTCTATTCTAGGCCTAAAATGAAGTAAATAAGCGTTCAGAATTTAATCCGAATCCTACAAAGAGATACAAAGCCGTAGATTTAGAATGTGTTAGCTTTAAAAAGTCTCAAAGGAAGTCTTCCATTGCACTACATTAAATTTCAGGGAGCTAAGTTGGGCGGTAAGGCCCAAGTGCAGGAGACTCAATTACGTAAAATGTGTAAATAATCAAGCTTTTATCAGTATTCCTTGATTTCTGGAAAGCACAATGTAAGTACAAAGCATTTTCAGTGAATGAGGTCCAGAAAATGCATGCGGACCTGTGGAGGGACTTACAGAACAATAGGCCAGGCCAGCGACCAAAGAATGCCAGGAGTTTAACACCCCAAACCCGGGCCGGTGCTGTGCAGCACAGTACCTCTCACCCGGCCTGGGGAAGGCGCACAGACGCAAAGGATCAGAAGGGAGGGCGGCAGGATTCGTTCGTTCCGCTCAGCCAGGTGCGACCAGGAATCCAACTCTGAAACCCCGGATCCGCGGCGAGGTTCGCGCGGAGTTCGGGAACAGCCCCCCACCCCCGGAGCTCCCCGGAACTACGGGGGCCGGGCCGCGCGGGGCGGGAGCTGGAAGTTTCCCGCGGCCGCGCGGACACCCCCGCGCAGGGTCGAGCAGTCTCCTCCCCGCCGCCAGGCTCGGGAAAGCCCAGCCTGAGTGGTACAGTCAAGGTCGTTTCCCGCGGTGTTTCCCGGGGCGCCCCGGAGTCCTGGGAGGGCCCGCGCGCGCCCCCGCCCCTGCTCGCCCACCCGCCGCTAGCTCGGCGCGGCCGGCCGGGGAAGGCACCGGGAGGGGGAGTTAGGCGCGTACCTCCGAGCGCCCCGCGCGCCCCGCAGAGCCCCAGGCAGGCGGCGAGCAGGAAGAGGCGGCGGGCCCCGAGCCGCCCCATCCCGCCGCGGCGGCCCCGCGCCCGCGCTTACTCCCGGGAGGCCGCCCGGCTACCTGCGCCGCCCCCTCTCCGCCTGCGGCCCCGGCCCGCAGCCCGGCCGGGGGGCGCCGCCCCCAGCCAGCGTGGGGGCTGGGCCGGGGCGGGGAGAGCCGTTGGCGACCTGCAGCTGTTGCGCCCCATCAGCGACAGCCCCGGCCCGGCCTTCTCCCAGGCCGCTGGCGAAACCGAACCGGGCTGGGGCGGGGGCCCCGCGCCCACGCAGTCGCCGCAGGCAGAGGGCGACCTCTGCGGTAGGGTGAAATGTGCAAGCTGGAGGTGATGACAAAGGAAGGCTAGGGAGGATTGCCGGAGGAGGCGGGACCCTAACACGGCCTTGAGGCAGCCGGTGCCCCGACCCTACTGAGCTCCAGGACGGCAGGGGGTTTATCTGCCGCCTGCTGTGTCTTTATGTCCACCTGGTGCCCTGGCGCCAGCAAATATGTGTTGGGTGAATGACTAAGGGTGGGAGGCGATCAGAAGACACAATCATTGCTTACTAAACGTGAGCCTCATTTTTTTTTCATTTTAAGGATTCAAGTTATTTCATTGAATTTTTTGGAGCCACTATCAGAGGAATTAATCAAGGCCCAAGAATCCTGTACAGAAATTCTCTCCTGATTTGGGGCAAGCCCCCACCCAGGTGTGAGATTTCTGGTAAAAAGGACTTGAACAGCGTCTGCCAGGACCGGGCAAGGGCCTTCTAGATTAACTTCTCTGGGCGGTGCGTTTCCCTGGCTGTGTCCTCTGCAACTCTGGAGTTTGACAGAATGCTAACGAATGTGCTACAAAGGCCATTCATGCTAGTGATACTTTGTTACTAATAAAATAAAGGATGACTTCATATCCCTTTCCTTTCCTTTTTTAGTTCTGTACTGAAGGGTTTTTTTTTTTTTCTTTTTACGGCATAGAATCCGATTTTGACCTTTTTCATCAGCAGACAATCTGTGATTTGTTTTACTCTTGAGCAGACATGTTTCTCCTGCTCAGCAGCCCTCCGTTCTCCGGGTGGCCTCACCCTACTTCTCTAGGGAAACTGCTCTCTGCTTCCTGCCCCTCCCTTGCCCGCACCGCTGGCTGGCTCCGTTCTACCCAAGTTGGAGGGGCAGCTTCTTTTATAAGTCAGCCTGGGGCTGAAGGGCCGGTTCAGCTCATCCTGACACAGGCATGCAGAATTTCTCCTGCCAGGCTCAGGTATCGACGTAAATTTAAAATATGGGCGGTGCAGAACAAGATTTCCCAGAGGGGCCCCAGACTGGTCATCGGTGTGCCCCAATGGGGCTCTACTCAAATATCACCTCTGGTGAAGAACACAGGCGAAGGACCTTAAGAGATCTGAGTGCAAATTCCAGCTTGGGTACCAGTTAGTGACCTTGGTATGTGACCTTGGGCAAATCTTTCATTTCCCATAACTTTAGTCCCCTGGTCTTGTAAAATGAAGAAAATGCCGATCCCATCATGGGATGTGCGGTTTAGCTAGCTCATGAGGATGGATGGTTGAGCGTGGTACCTGGTACGTGGTAAGAAATCACTGGGCACCCTTATTTTACCAGGGAGCCCAGTCGGGCCCAGTTTCTCAGGATTCCTGGAAAGACACAGTCCACCTGCACGTACCCACCGACCTTTGTCCCACATTGTCCTTATATAAACCTGGAAGCTTTTTCAGCACTTTGGAGATAGTCTTTGGGTCGCCCATCCTCTATCTTCCCAGTTGCAGCCTGACTGAAATAAATCCCTTTCTTATTTCACAGTGTTGGTCTCTCTGCCTTCAGATTTATCAGCAGTGGTGGTTGAACCCTGTCTGTTTGGGACTCCTGGACCCAGCAGCTCTTGCGCCCCTGCGCCGCAGCTACCCAGAAAACACTTGAAAGAATAATCTTGTGGGAGTCAACTTGAACTTGAAATTTGTCATAGGAAGCAACAGCCAGGTGAAGAGATATATAGGGCAAGGTCAAAAACAAAGGAGCTTCTGTCCTCATGGAGTTTGGGGCCCGGCCCAGTAGCACATGGAAACGTTCCAGTTCACCAGCCTGGAAACTTTCCAAACCCCTGCCTTTTGGGTTACCTTGGAGGCATCATTACATAAGCACAATTGATTAAATCATTGGCCATTAGTGACTGAACGCCGTCTCTAGCCCCTCTCCCCTCCTTGGAGGTCTGGGGATGGGACTGAAAGTTCCTACCTTCTAATCCCAGGATTGGTTCCCTGGGCAACCAGCCTCCATCTTTAGGTTACCTGCGGCTTTCCAAAAGTCACCTCATTCACATAACAAGGCTAATGTTAATCCTTCTCATCCGTCACCTATGAACTTCCAAGAGTTTTAGGACAAATGAATCAAGACAAAATATATTTCTTATTATAAATCACAAATTGCACCATGATAGTAATTTCTGGGGTTACCCCACTGCCCATAGTAGTTCTGATTTTCTTGAGGTTGAAGAACCCTGGACTGGGTGGGTGGGAGTTATAGCTTGGGCTCTATATGTATGACAAGTCACATACTTTATAATAGGAGAGGCTTCAGTTTCCTCTCCTATTAAATGGAAGGATTGGATTAAATGATCTGTAAACTCCCCCTAGGCTCAACATTTTATGATTCTCTTTTGTCATCTTTGGCATCAGGACCGCTCTGCCATTTAAACAGAGCTCTTTTAATTAGCGCACAGAGAAACCTGAAATATTTGCATTTCTTTACGCAAACCGAGGCGATGATTGCTAATAAACTTGAAGCTTTTAATTTAGAAAAATCACTCCAAGTGTCAAAGAGAGACCAGGAATTATCTTCCTGTAGAGTGCCACTTGCTCCTCTCCTTTAAATTAGTTGTCATCTATCAGTAAAATGCTTCAAAGATTGAATATGGGCTCCAGCTAAATTCCATAGCAGTGGAGACAGCTCTAAAAGGATGAGAAATTAAGATGCTCGGTTGTTAGGGAAAGCTCAGTTGTAAACATGGTGACTTTAAGGATGTTTCCTGAGAGTGTCTGGTCAGGAAATCCACTTGCATAAGGGTCACACTCAAATCTAATCACTTTGGCTGGCACTCACCTGTTACACCTCAGCCACAAGAATTATTCTATTTGGTGTTTAAACAGAATGCTGTTCACTCAGAAATAAAGGTATAAAGAACAGAGAACAAATCTAGAGATGCAAAGCTGTAAGAATAGAGAGATGTGTACTCATTTGACAAATACTCGCTGAACTCTCCCAGATGCAAAAGGCACACAAAGATATCATGGTGCAAACAAATGAATTAGAGCTTCTACTTTCAAGATTGTTACAAGGTAAAGAGGGGTACCAGACATGAATAGCAGTATTTTTAACACGGGTAAGTTCAAGATTGGGCAAAGCCTCTGGGCCCAAGACCCTCTTCTCTGAAACTTCCCACCCCATATACCTTTGATGATGTGATCGGTTTAAGCAGTCTCCTGACTCCTCACCCTCGAACCCCGCAGAAGTGAACCAGGTAGATTCCTGATCTAAAGGGCATCACACTGGCAAACAAGAATGTCAAGGATGATATGTTCTCAAAACTTTCAGCCAAGAGGCACTAAGAATTGGGATGATTTTATGGCAGCCACACGGCCAGTAGTTCACTTGGAGATGGCTCCTTAGTGAACACCAACCAAAGACCCATGTCCACTAAAGTTATGGAGGACCAGGAACTATGAGTCAGAAGAGAAAGTTGTGTGCCTCTGCCTCAGTCTATACAGACAGGAGATTGGCTCCATGTCCCAGAGAAGAAGCTGATTATAAGGGACAGTCAGAGCCACAGGCAGTCACTGCTACTGGTTTTCCCATCCCCTCAAGGCCCAGGTAGCCTCCACATGTTGTTTCCATGAGATCCTTCTGAGTTCTTTTGATAAACCCATACTTCCCTAGAGCTGGTATACAAGTCTAGCTTCACAAATTCGGGTGTGCATGAATGATAATTTTCTATATTTTTGCCCAACTCAACATTCTTTCAGTTTTGACCTCCCAATGTACTGTGGATGCAAAATTGTATCTCAGTACATTGGAGTTTTCGCTCCTGCACCTCACTCCCCCAAGCTGTGTTGAAGTTCCATGAGATTTATGTAGCACCAAGACATTAGGGATGACTGAGAGAAGAGGAGTGGCAGTTATCTGCTCCTCAGTGCCCTTGTTGGGGTGGCTGCTGAGACACTCCTCACCCCATGGGGTCTTTGGATGTCAGTCCATATAGGCTCCAAGGAGACAGACAGCCTCATTCCCACACAAATGACTCTGTCAGAAACTTGTCTGTTTCTCCCAAGCCACCTGAATGTTCTCAGCCAACCTGGTATAGACACTCTTTGTGAGGCTGGGTAAGATCTTGGCTGCCAAGACTCATCACAGCCATTTTTCTCTCCTGGTGTCTTACTGTCTTCTGGAAACCCATCAGTCAAGCCCAGGGATTGAACTGCTTCCATGGGCCCTGCCTTTCTTTAGGATCCGCCAGTGTCACCATTCTGAATGCTTCCCCCTGATTATCCTGTACCCCAAAGCAGGAAATCCTATTCCTCTCAATCTGCTGGGTGTTGAGAAGGAACATCGCATAGACCAAGACAGAGTTAGGCAGTCATCAGAATAGGATATGAAATCCCGAATTTAATTAAAAAATAAAGTTATCATTCTTGCGAATCTGAGATGTAGCTTGGGATTTGTATTTGTCATATTAAGGCACCTATCCAAGAGTACTAAGAACTCCCATAGAGCCTCCTCCCAGTCTAGTTAAAAGATGATTGAGCCAATTTTTTTTTTTTTTTTTTGGTGGCAATGGCTGTCACCTCCATGAGGGAAGTATTCAGAAATGAGGCAGACTCTGAGAAGTCACTGCTAACTTTAGAAACACCAGTCTTTATTTTTTATTTTTCTTATTTTAGAGAGAGAGTGGGGGAGAGGGGCAGAGGGAGAAAGAGAGAGAATCTTAAGCAGGCTGCCTGCTCAATGTGGACCCTGATGTGG